AAATTAAATTGATTGGATATGGGTAGCAATATGTTTGAATTATATTTATTTTAAAAAAATAAACAGTTCAGATCATCAAAACGAGATCTGTTTTTCCAGATTTGTGATGATGTTGATGAAGATGTTCATAATCTGAAAATTTGTGATGATATATTGATGAAGATGAAAAAAATTTGGGTCATTGTGGACTTCTTCAGAAAAATGCGAAAAAAATAAAAAAAGAAAAAAAAAATAGAAGAAGACACCAAAACGACGTCGTTTTGGTGTCGAGCCACAGTCGGGCCACAAAGTTTCGAGCTACGAAACGGAACTGGTGGTTGGGTACCTCGGATTATCATGTCACGCCACAGTCGGGCCACAAAGTTTCGAGCTACGAAACGGAACTGGTGGTTGGGTACCTCGGATTATCATGTCACAATATTTACGTGGAGGTCCGAACCAATGGTGTAATGAAAATTTTAAAAATAGAACATGATGATTCAATTTTATATACCATATATAAATTTTCTATGTATTTATATGATCCCTTATTGTTGGTGACATTGCAAATTCATCATAACAACCTTTCTACAATATACCATTTTTAAGTGTTGTGACACTCGCGCAAAAAAATTATAAGTCAGAAATCAGCTTATGTTCATAGTTATAATCTATAAGCCGTTTAGGCATAAGTTATAAGCACTTTCCCACAACTCTACCAAACAAGACCAATATGTCTTAAGATAATACTTTAATAATTCTCACAAATCACTCGATCATATAGTCAGTATGTTAATTCGAGTGATTATATAATTTTAGGTCTTGTTTGACATTTCTTAAAAAAATCAAAAAGTCACTATCTTATTTAAGTCACATCACCTCTCTACTACATCAAAAAACTAATAACTCATACCAAAAAGTCAAAATTTTCTTTTCTCTTTATTTTTTACATATTTTTTCGTAAAAATTTAAAAAATTATCTCAAATATATTAATTTTTTTAACTCATATTTTAATTAAATAATCAAAAAATTACTAAATTAACCTGGTTGTAAATGAGGAATGACTTGTTGAAAACTACGTGACAAAGCAAGGCAAGAGTGAGAGTGGCATATTATCTATAAATTATTTATTTATTAGATAGTATCTATAAATTATTAGATAGTCCCAAAAGTATTATGTAATATTATTTATATAATATTTTTGACAAATAAAAAACATCAACTCACCCTAAAGTCTATTTTGACATGTTAAAATAGTTAAAAAGTAATTATAAAAAAATCAATTATTTTCTTCATTTTTTTACAAATTTCTTTTATAAAAAAATTAAAAAAAAAACTAATTAAAATAATCAATTCTCAACTTCTTTCTTTTTTTTTTTTCTTTTTTTTTTTTTTTTAAGTTGAATTGGATTTGGATTGAAGAGAGACGCCTTAGAACAAAAGAAAAAGGATATATATACTTTAAAAAAGCATACCTTACCGAAGAAAACAAAAAAATTTTAAAAACAGGCAGTCATATTTCATTTTACGAGGCAAACCATTGTAAGCCTCCGTTTGGTGGGCTAAAAAGATTAGTTTGGGAAGGATTTTTTGGTTTTTTGACTTTTTTAATTTTTTTGTGAGAGAAGAGTGTAATGATTATGGGTTGGATGTGATGTTTTGTTTGTTATGGCTAAAATAGCTTATTTTGTTTTTTTGTGACTAAAATAGCCAAAAAAACCCAACCAACTTCTTCCCAAACGGTGCCTAAGAGAATTAATTTATTAAATTTTATACATAATCAATCACCAAAATGATGTCAGTGACAATTTTAATACTTTAGAGACATCTTAATAGGGTCTTTTTTTTCAATTTTTTTTTAAGTAATAAATTCACAACTCTGGATATCATTTTATGTTCGTAAGAGTAATGGCACATCAAGAGCCTGGTGGGGGAGTCCAAGCAAGGGCAAGGGCAAGGCAAGGGCAAGGGCAAGGGCAAGGGCAATGATCTTGGGGACCTTCATACCTTTTGTAATGGTTGACGTAGGCCAATTAAAAAAATTATTTGGGACAAAACCAAATCAATAATTAATGGATCAAAATTTATAGCCATGCAGCCACGATATATTTATAAGGTTTGGGCTTCCCTCCAGTCCACTATCTAGATTGGAAGGTTCAATTTGACCCATTAGGTCTAATTTTTGGATATCTTTTCGATAATCTGAACCGTTCACATTTTAGAATTTGTTAAAAGTATATTATCTCTGTAAAAAATCACGTCGATCAGATAACGGATACTATATATTCGGATCATTTTTTTATGAATCGTTAATTTTCTAATTGTGTATTTTTTTCTAGAAAAAAGTTATCCGAATACATAGTATCTGTTATCCGATCAATATGAATTTTTTACAAGAATAATGTAATCAACAAATCTTAAAATGTAAACGGTTTTGATTATTGAAAAGATATTCAAAAGTGGGCCTAATAGACTGAACTAGACAGGACTATTCTAGATCTGAACGGGAGATCATCCGGACCATATTTATTAAGATTTGTGTAGATATATAGTAGCCCAAGCCCAAATTCTACAAATAACTCTGATGTGACTTTTGACATTCACATTCTTCAAGTTTCCTCAACATTCTAGTTGAATTCATACCCATTAGTTTTCATACACCATTGTCTGTCTTCTTGAAATTTATTGATTCATAGGATCACTTTTATAAGTATGGACAATCTAACGAACTAATAAAATTTAAGAAGACAAAAAATGATACATGAAAAAGAGACAAGTGATCTAAATTCTCTTAACCCACCATCGCAAATGATAACAAGTGCGTTTTGTGAAATGTTAACATTTTTCTTCTTACACGAGTGAAAAATAAAATTTCTAAGTACTAATTCACCTCATAAGATTTAAACTCATAACTTATGAAAGTCATAAAATCTTGACCTACTCCTTTATCTCCTTTGAATTATCCACCAAGTTTATGCAAAAAAATAAAAAAATAATAAAAAAAAACAAAACAAAACAAAACAAAAATTTGTTCAATTAAACTACAACTCATTTTATTTTTGACTTTTCATTCTAAGCAGTTGAAAAAATTAAATTTTATTAATAAGTACTTTAAATGACACTCGTTAACAAGCCTGGAAAGTTTTTCAATCTTAAAAAAAAAAAAAATCTATGTTTTAAAGAATGTATTATGATTTTAAATTCTATCAATTAATTCCTTTAAAATTCTAGTTAATAAATACCAAAAAGATTGAGCTACAAAATGATAAATAAATTTAAAAAAAAATAAAGTGGAAAGAATGTATTTTACCAAGGTATTTATTTGGGGAAATATAATTTTAAAATTGGATTAATAAAACAAAGAAAATACATATAGATATTTGACCAAAAAAACGAAGTTCAAACTAATAATTCATCTAAATATGATATTACCAAAACAGATCGTATGCAAATTGGAATGGGCAGAGTTGAGATTGATAATCTTAGGTTTAGTGACAAAACACTATTAGTCAGACAAATTAATGTAATGTTCCACAATTGTGTGATAAATTCATTTATTTTGGCAAATATAAATTACAAGGTCCAATGAGTAGGGGTGCACAGCTAGGGCTATGTAAGGAATTTCTAAAATTCGTAATTCGATCTGATTCAGTCTAAGTTGGTAAATTTGAATTAATTTTTTGAATTCGTGGTTCGAATCTGGATTGAAAATTAAAAATTCATAGTCCACAGATAGGTTCTGGATTGAACCCCACAGTTTCGAATTGAAACCAATTCGAACCGTATATAAATAGCCTATATTTATATGATACAACCTCCTGTATAATATTTTCTTTTATTCCATATAAAACATAAATCCAAATCTAAATCTGCATAGTATCATCTTTTATTACTTTTGTTTGTTGGTTTTTAGTTTTAATTTGTAATGGTCTACATATTTATGGTGGAACTAATTTTCTTATGCTTGTTTAAACTCTAGAACAGTATGTCGTTATTGTGGAAAGAAATATTACTATTGTGAAACTAATATGATGCTATATATATGTTTTTATGAAATTAAAATGTTTTATATTTTTTTTGTTATTTAATTATGTGAATCTGTGGTCCTAAACCGATCAAATCATTGTTCAAATAGATTGGTTCTGATTGGTTCCACGATTTAAACGGATTGGATTGGTTCTAATTTTTCAAAAACCATAGATAGCGGATTGGTCCTGATTTACCCCAATTCGAACCAATCAGGACCACACTTACCCCTATGCTCAGTGAATATTTTGATTCGTCCAAACCAATCAAACTGAATCGATCTGTCTCATTTTGGACGAATGCGTGTTAACAAGTGAACGGTTGCGGATTGATTTTTTTTAATCTGCCTAGTTTTAGACGGATGAGAGATTTGAGATTCCTTTAGCAGTAACTAAACCGTCAAACCGCAAACACCCCTAATAATTTGTAAGACTTTATATTTTTAATTTGTTTAAATATTTTGTTTATGTTTTTAATTGAAAAGAGTATAAATATTTTGTTGTATTTTCAATTTGGAAATCTTTTTATGAAATGGCAAGTGTTGATATTTGGTATTTTTGTGTGAAAAATATCAGACTTAATTTTGTCATTTTAAAAATAAATTTAAATTAAATAGTTTTGAATAAAACAAATAAATAAATAATTTTGATAATGGATGATTTTTTTTTATATATATATTTATTATTGATATTTGACAATTTACTTGATAATTTTTTAGTTATATTGAGTTAACTTGTTATCAAAAAAAATATTGATAAATTATTTTATTATGTTCAAAATTTATAAAATTTAAACTATAGAATCAATTCACATTTATCTGCCAATCAACTCAATTCGAAACCAAATTAATTTTTTTTAATTCACTAACCCAACAAATAAATGCTGAATTAAAAATTCTCCCTTCACAATCGAACCGCGAGCACGCTGCCAATGAGTTCTACTTGAGTTGCATTAATATTTAATAACAACTATGATATAAATAATATCTAAAATGTAATATAAAAAGACGAAAAATACATATATAGTATTATTATTACATGATTAATAACCAACTTCACCGTGCAATGAACGCAAAATCACAGCCGTACATCCCGAGAAGCTCTCATCATCATTTACTAGAATATATCGAGAATCTCGATGATCGAACGGTTGCAGAGCGGACAAGACCCTCGATTCACCCACAGCTCTCTCGAACACACCCTGCAAAAAGCGTGTCCACACGGTATGAACGCTGCACCCTTTTTCCTTTCCATGCACACACAACACATGGAATCACACCCCACCAATCCTCTCTCTTCTCTTGTTTCTCTCTCTCCATCGCAACCGTCCGTTTCTTCCAACAATCTCATCAACGAGACTCTCAACGGTGTTCCTTCAGTTACTTCTCCTGTGGGCCCCACAGGACTTCCATCACCACCGTCCGATTCTTGGGCCGCCCTGTAGTCGCGTTCGGCTGCCAACGCCGCCGCCAAGTTCATCCCCGCCGACGCCGGAGTCTGACCCACACAGTCCTGATCTGACGTGTGCACCGGCGAAGTCTGACCCACATCGATCACCTCTAATTGGTGCTCTTGTTGTGTGTCCACCTCCTCCTCCTCCTCGTCGTTTTCAACGGTTAAGATCGATGATCTGAAGACCCAGGTGGCCCCACAGCAGCCCATACCCTTGAATCCCAGCCGTTCTTTTAGACTCTTCCGTCTCTGAACTGTATGATCAAGGCCGTCCATTCTGTCTCCCAAAAATTCAAGAAGGGTTCTTGCTCCTCTTTCTTCTCTCTCTACCCTTCCCTGCAAATTGAAAGACAAAATTTCACCGAGTTGACTCATATTATCAGAGACCCACAAAGCAAAACCAATCGTAACACATCAAAAAACAACAAAAACAAAAACAAAATAGTTTGGTGAAAGAGTATATATACTTGGGAGAGTTTTTGGATTGATTGATGAAAGGTTAAAGCATCGAAATCACGTGAGTTTCTTCAAAGAATGAAAGGTGGATTTAATTAAATTCAACTATTTACACACAGAGAGAGAGAGAGAGAGAGAGAGAGGGAGAGAGAGAGAGAGAATGGGGAGTTATTTGAGAACTTGGGAAGTCAATTAAGAGTGGGTATTGGGGTGGTGATCTCATTGATAGCTCCGTCATAGATAAGAGAAATGTATATTATACCTTTAAACTGAGAAATCGTTTGGTGGAACTATTTTGGGCTGATATTAAATTCAAACACTATCTCAAATTAAAGATGATCAATTTGAGGAATCTAAATCCTATACATTATATATATTAAGCTTGCATGGAACAAACAGAGAGACAAAATAGAAGAGAGAATAAGAACAAAAGGAAAAGAAGATAGCGAGTCTTTACAGGGTTTTCTTGTTTGGTTCAAGCTTTCTTGTTATTAAAATGCCAACAGAGTTTGATTTTTTGTTTAAGGAAGTGCCAATTTGTTTTAATAATGTTTTGGACATGAATTTTCAGAGTTTGTTAGGATGGTCGCCGGCCATAAAAAGTCAAAAGCCATTTCGCGCTCGCATCGAGGTTGTGCCATGTGGTACATGCCACTGACGTAAGCCAATAGAAAGAAAATTGAGAGAGCTTGAGCAATTAGTCCGGTTTAATTTGAAAACATAATTAAAAGCTTAATTTTAGTTTGTAATTTATTTTGAGTTATTATTACTATATTTTTTTATATGTTTTTTTAAAAAAAAAAATTAAAAATTTAAAAATTCAATTTTTAACTTCTCAAAATAATCTTTATTAATGTACTCACGGATGATGTAACATAATTTTAGAAAATTTGAATCTTTATAATTTATATAATGAGTGGAGTTATAATGTTAAAGTAGCAATATCAAACATATGTTGATACACTAATTGATATACTAATTAGTACGAGTAGCACCACTGTTATCCTAATCATCTATTTTTAAAAAAATTATCGATGTATATAATATCATGAAAAAAATGATGCAGATTCAATAATAGTATTTTTTTATTATATATATGTTTTTGAAAAAATAATAAGTATATTTTGAAAAATAAATATCTAATTTTTAGAGATAAATACGAAAAAATAAAAAGGTTACGATTATTAAATTAACTTAATTTTTTTCATAAATAATATACACGAAGAGTCTCACCAAATGTTATTCGAATTATTGAGTGGTGATTCGTGATGAATCTCATGAACCACTCATTTTCTCTTAAATTTAATTAGAAACTCAACTATTTTTTATCAACTTATTTTATTAAGATATTTATGCTAATATTGTATAGACAAATAAAATGGTAAATATGATAAAAATATGATAAATGTACCATGTTGAAAAGAAAAAAAATGATAAATTATAAATATATTGGCTGAGTTTTGTTTAAAATACAAAATGCACCATGTGATTCAACAAATTATATCCTACCCATTAAAGTTTTTTTAATTTCATAAAAAACGACCTCTTTTATTAATAAATTATTACGTTAATTAATAATTTTTAATAATGTCATAAATTTATTTCAATTAATAATTCATATAATTTTATTATTGTATATAAGAGTAGTGAATAATTTTAATTTTTTTAATTAATTCTATTAAATAAAAAATTCTAAAAAAAAATATTTATAATTTTTCAAACTATAAAAGACATTCTGCATCACTTCTATTTGCAAAATGATTATCAGTCTTCTCCATACTTGTGACAAATCATGACTAAATGCAAAATTCATAATCCTCTCACATAAAAGAACTATTGAAAGCATTTTGATAAATTTGAAATTGAGTATGTACATGTTATACCATCATCATTGATATGTAATATTACCCTTCTGTCACGACCCAAACCCGGCCCTATGGGTTTAGCACCGTAACCGGCCAGTAATCCGAGATTACCGAAGGCCTGCAGATACAGTAATACAGTAAAACAGAGTACAGGGCCTGGCGGAAGCCAATACAGTAAATAAATAGTGTCCATTGAGCTGTGATAGTCTGTATGCAAAAAGGCTTTTCATATATTTATACATAAACAGTACAGAACAGTATACACAATGTTTACAATCATTCAGACTAGGGACTCGACCCTAGATAACAGTACAGTAACACTCGGTCTATACAGAACAGTAAAACAGTACAGAAGGGGAGAAAACAAACAAAACACCCCCAAGCCATAGCATGGCAACTCGGAACCTCGCAGTGAGGCACAAAGGCTGGCTTGACAAAACTGGAGTAACCCTGACGCCTCTAGCTCCGGTCTGGTGCCTGAACACCTACATATATATATGAGCAGTGAGCTAAAGCCCAGTGAATAACATAAAGCGTAAAGGGGTTTAGAATGAATGTCCTTACAGTAACGAAAACAGTTCAATTCAATCAGTATTTCAGTCGTTCAGTACAGTAAACAGTCATATGTGGTACATCCATTAGCATAACAGTAACAGTAGGTCTTAAAAGACCGAACAGTAATGATGGCCATCAGTCAGTAAACAGTAGTGGCTCCACGAGGGAACCGACAGAGAATTCTGTCACAGTAACAGTAAACAGTAGATGCTAAGGATGCCACAGTACAGTTCAATGAACAAAGTTTGTAAACTCTTTTGTAGTAACAGTAAACAGTAGGTATTAAGGATGCCACAGTACAGTTCAGAAATAATGACATACATTCATTCAGTAAATAATACCAGTTCAGTAAACAGTTCAGTTCAGTATTCAAAAGATATCAGTTGAACATATCTTTACACAATTGTTACTCACAGAGTTCGGGCTACAGTATGCTAGAGCGTGTCTCCCCAGTCGCCAACCCTACACAGTTAACAGGTTGAACACACTAAGCTACACAGTTGGGAAATATCATAACTTAATCCCTAATTTGCCTTGGTGTGTTCTACATCTATATCCTCATTTAAATGTCTTAAACTAGGCCTAAGAATGCCTAGGGTGGGATGAGAATGCAAAAATACACTTAGAAAATATGTTGCAAAGTTTGCTGAAAATAGGAGCTTCGCTCGAGCGAGACTTTCTACGCTCGAGCGTAAGTCCAAAATCAAAGGCTCCGCTCGAGCGAGTAATCCTTCGCTCGAGCGGTCTGCAAAACAGTAAAAATACTGGATGCCTGAAATTTTACGCGCGATAGTCGCTCGATGGTCGCTCGAGCGGAGCCCTGGACAAAGGTGCTCGCTCGAGCAGAGAACCCTTCGCTCGAGCGAGGAAGCCAAATCTGGAATTTCCAGATCTGCCTCACAAGCTCAAACCAAGCATTCTACCACTCCAAACTCGACCTCTTGGGCCCAAATTCTGGAAAACATAACTAAATTCAATGTATAACAAGTTTCAAAGCTCAATTTGTGAATTCAAGCCCCAAAGGTGAGTCAATTTAAAACCACATTCAAACCCATTTTCAAGAACAACATTCAAACATATCATGCATGAGGTTTAAACCAAATTGAAGCTCCAAAGCTTGCTCAAATGAGCTCATTTCTTTCCAAAACCGGATGAAAGCATGGTCTATAACAACAATATGAGCATGCATGTAACATTTTGCCATGAAAACAACTCAAAATCCAACAATACTACCATGCATGCAAGAAATGAGCTTCAATCCACCATTAATGAACCAAATCATGACTTAGCTCTACAAATTAACATGAACCATGCATGAATCAACTTAAAGACAAAATCAAAAGATGAAATTCATACCTAGGTTCCTTGAATGCAAGTCTAGAGGTTCAAATTAACAATCCACACTTCAATCTTCAAGCAATTCTACCAAGTTCCAAGCAATGCAAGATGAAACTCACTCTCTCCCTCTCAAGGTCGGCTAAAGCAAGGAAAATGGCTGATCAAAATGTGTTTTGATACAAGGTGTAATGAGGCTCAAACATGTATATTGAGTGGGCCACTAAGGGTGGCAATATGGTAATTAGGCTTAACTCTTTAATTAGCTTATTTAATCTAATTTAATCATACCTAATTAATTTTCAGATAATTATACCATAAAATCACATTAAATATGAGGGTCACGAAACATCAATCGGTTTCTAGTTCGGCCGCCGATAAGGCCTTCAATTAGCAGTTTAAACATATAAACATGAACAGATAATCAGACAATCAAACAGATAGAATGCAATTAACTAACATGTACTCAGTCAATTCAGTTTCAATTTCAGTCAGTCAGTTCAGTATTTCATTCAGTTCGATTATCAGTCAGTTATCAGTCATTATCAGTTTCGTTTAACAGTAATCGGTGATTATCGGTAATCGGTCAGTCATTAATCAGTAAACAGTATGAGGGTTGTTACACCTTCAATAATAATAGTAATAATAATAATAATATTTAAAAATAAATAAATTTGATTATGCAAACCTAATAATATTGAATGTGTTAAATCTAAATTAATACTTACGATTAGATGATTGAGTTCAGCCATCATATTAATATTTTTTATTGGCCAGTGCTATCACATTAGCCAATTATGTTGTAATAAACAATGTTATAATGTAATGTAATACCAGTGTTGTAATTCACCCAAAAAAAATACCATTGTTGTATTAAAGTTTTTCAAGTTTTTCTTGTAAGACAGAGATTATTGTATTAAAATATAAATTCAAAAACTATCTGGAAAATTTTAATTTTCTCAAATTAGTTTCTATCATCCAAATCGAGACTTAAGTTTTCTCAATCTACCAATAATAACCATCTCGTATACCTTTAGGGTATGTTTGATTGGAAGGATTAAAGCATAGGATTGAGATTATTAATCCGTGGGCCCAATCATCCTATGTTTGTTTTGACATTTTGGTTTAGGATTATTAATCCAATAGATAATTAATCCAACAAATTTGTAGGATTATTAGTAATGGGGTAGGGGTGGGATAACTAATACCACACTAATTTAATAGGATTATTAATACATCACTATTAGTGTTGTGAATCAAACATGGCCTTAGTCAGTTCTAATTTTAAATCCTTTTATTTTAAATTTTATCCCTCCAATTTATGAGAAAAAAAGAAAAAAGAGTATAATTTGATGTTAAAGTAGTCAGTTATTTTACTTTTACATAAAATTGGACAAAATTCTTTTATATGGGCAAGATTTATATTTTTAATAAATCACACTTCATATGAGGAAATTGTGTATGATTCTGTGACTGAATTATATCTGTTTAATTTTTTTTATTATAACTTTGTGGAAAAGTTTAGTTTGAATTGAAATGAGAGGGCAACAAAGTATAATTATTTACGGCTTGATTTGTGGAATAAAATGGTGGTGGGGTTCACACTTTTGATGTAATACTTTGCGTGGACCCACTTTTAATTGAATTCAAATCAAAATAAAGTAGGCATGTCACCGTCATCCTAATCATCAAGCAAACAAATATTACTGTATTTTTCAATTATTATTATTTTTTTATTTTTGTTATATATAGTATTGAAAAAAATAATTTATATAGAATGTTTATCAAAAGAAAAATGTTTGGGTGCCCTAATTCTGTGGTTCAAATGTGGCTCAAATGGCCAAAACGACGTCGTTTTGGCCATTTTGATGTTGTTTTGTACTCAAAACGACGTCGTTTTGGCTATTTGAGCCACATTTGAGGCACAGAATTTGGGCCCTCTACCATTGCTCTTATCAAAATGATGTGTTAGTAATATTTCTATAATTAAATATTATTTAAATGAACATTGGATTCTATAATGATAAATTCTAGGATAAATTGCATTTACACCCTTGAGGTTTGGGGTTAACACATATTATTCACTGACGTTTGAGAAATTATACTAACTTTCCTATCATTGTAATTATTTAGACGGAATGAAAACATTGAACTTATACACTTTCTTTTTTTTTACTTTGTTTTACTTCTTCTGGTTTTTTTTTTTTTTTTCCCTTTACCTTTGCTTTAATTTTTTTTTTTTAAAATGTAATTTGATCTATTTTTCAACTATGAGTTATTATCTTTTACATAGAGGAATTTTGTAAAATGAAAATATTAACTACAATGATGAAAATATAATTTCCAAAAGATCAGAAAGTGAGATATAATTAGACTGAATCTCAAGAGATGCCAGTGTAATTTACTCTAAATTCTAATATAATTTAGAAAACCAAACATATAGAGGGTTTATATTATTAGGAGGGTTTATATTATTATGAAGATGAAAAACAACACAATAATATTGTAATAAGTTTAAATAATATAATTATATATATAAGAGGCGTTTAGCTGCTTGAGGTTCAATTTTTCTTTTTGATTTTATCCTTTTATTTTGAATAATTTATTAATATTGACCTATATGTTGAGTGAAGGTTTTTTTTCGTAATTACGTAAGCATTCTTAGTCAATTATTCAATATGTTTTTTTTGTAATTACGTAAATATTCTAGGTCAATTATGAAATATTTTTTTTGTAATTATGCAAATATTTTTGGTCAATTATGAAATATAAATATTTCATTTTTTGACAAATTACAAATACACTCATAAAGTTTGTTTAAATTATGAATTGGTCCCATAATACTAGAAATTACAACTATCATTTGTTATAAATTTTAATTTAATACAATACTCAAGGAGAAAAGAAAAAAAAAACTATTCTCCTATGCAATAATAAATTATCAAAATTGTGTATTAAAAAATGAGTAATGCTAGGAACCCCAAATAATATACCAAATGTTTTACCAAACTTCTCACGTTAGTAATGCTACACACAAATCCACATGTGTGCAGGTCCCACATCTATGTGAAAGGTTTGGTAAAATATTTGGTAGATTATTTAGAGAGTAATGCGAGGAAGCTCAAATAATCTACCAAATGTTTTACTAAACCTCTTACATTGGTAATAATTATTAATTGACTTAATAATTTATTTATGAACTATTTACATGTAAGTCCTAATAAGTGGATTTATTGTCTATTAAGTCCCATGAAAAAAAATTGACATAAAAAAACATAATTAATTATAAGTTTTAGCGACAATTTATAAAAATCATGACAAAAAAAAGTTACTAATTGTCAATTTTTAGAGACATATATAAAAAATTGTCACAAAAAAATTATTTTTAGTGACAATTTTACCAAGACTTATTTTCAATAGGACTTGATAGGAATTAAGTCTAACTATTAGGATCTATTGGTAGTTTACCCTATTAATAAAAAGGTTAATTGAAAAATACAGACCAACCACCTCTCCTCATTGTGTCATCCTCTCTCTCTACCATAATGGGTGTTCCGGCTGAGTCACGGTGGAGAAGTCAAGGCCGACGGGAATTGCGATTGACGGCGGAGATCATGGACGCCGGAGATCTACGGCGGAGGACGGTGAAGAGATTTATGGAAGATCTTGGATCTGTTGTGAGCGGTGAGGAGAGAAATGCGATTGATGATGCGATAAGGCATGTGGTTCAGGAGGTCAAGTTATTGGCTAAGAAGGAAGATCGGGAGGGTTTGGATTCATCTATCAACGAGCTTCTTCTTCTTGGAATGCAAAGGTGAATTTCTTGCTTCTTTGTAGATCTGTTTTCATTGAATAAACGTTTCTCGCTTTTGATTACTTTATTTCTTGCTTCTTTGTAGATCTGTTTTCATTGAATAAACGTTTCTCGCTTTTGATTACTTTATTTCTTGCTTCTTTGTAGATCTGTTTTCATTGAATAAACGTTTCTCGCTTTTGATTACTTTATTTCTTGCTTCTTTGTAGATCTGTTTTCATTGAATAAACGTTTCTCGCTTTTGATTACTTTATTTCTTGCTTCTTTGTAGATCTGTTTTCATTGAATAAACGTTTCTCGCTTTTGATTACTTTATTTCTTGCTTCTTTGTAGATCTGTTTTCATTGAATAAACGTTTCTCGCTTTTGATTACTTTATTTCTTGCTTCTTTGTAGATCTGTTTTCATTGAATAAACGTTTCTCGCTTTTGATTACTTTATTTCTTGCTTCTTTGTAGATCTGTTTTCATTGAATAAACGTTTCTCGCTTTTGATTACTTTATTTCTTGCTTCTTTGTAGATCTGTTTTCATTGAATAAACGTTTCTCGCTTTTGATTACTTTATTTCTTGCTTCTTTGTAGATCTGTTTTCATTGAATAAACGTTTCTCGCTTTTGATTACTTTATTTCTTGCTTCTTTGTAGATCTGTTTTCATTGAATAAACGTTTCTCGCTTTTGATTACTTTATTTCTTGCTTCTTTGTAGATCTGTTTTCATTGAATAAACGTTTCTCGCTTTTGATTACTTTATTTCTTGCTTCTTTGTAGATCTGTTTTCATTGAATAAACGTTTCTCGCTTTTGATTACTTTATTTCTTGCTTCTTTGTAGATCTGTTTTCATTGAATAAACGTTTCTCGCTTTTGATTACTTTATTTCTTGCTTCTTTGTAGATCTGTTTTCATTGAATAAACGTTTCTCGCTTTTGATTACTTTATTTCTTGCTTCTTTGTAGATCTGTTTTCATTGAATAAACGTTTCTCGCTTTTGATTACTTTATTTCTTGCTTCTTTGTAGATCTGTTTTCATTGAATAAACGTTTCTCGCTTTTGATTACTTTATTTCTTGCTTCTTTGTAGATCTGTTTTCATTTAATTTCTTGGATTCATCTGTTGTGTGTTTTCTTTTTATTTATTTTACTTCTGTTTGTAACCATAATTTGAAAATGAAAACACACAACAGATTCATCTATTTATTTTAATTTATTTTATTATTTGAAAATGATAGAACAAAGTGGATTCGAAGTGGGTTTCATTTGATATTATCTATGTATTACTGGGTATGATTTTATTTTATTTTATTTATTTATTTATTTATTTGGGATTCTTAGTTGGTGATTCAGATGGTGTTATTGCTAACTTGGTCATGACAATTGGCATTTGCAAATAAGGTTTTGTTGTTTTTGTTGTTTTTAATATGATACAAATAGTTTTGACAAACAGACAAATGAGAAAGTGCATTTTCGGAACCGCGTGAGAAGGAAGTTGTGGTTCAAAATGACTGTCACTTTCTGCATAGAACAAAGCAGTCCTTTGTGGAATAAAACTACAATTAAAGATTTTTGGTTTGTACAATATGAGAAGGCTCTATTTTCTCGGGAATTTTGTGTTCCGGAAACAGAAAATAAATGAATGAATGAAGAAACTTTTAAGGCATTCTATAAAATGTATGGTAGTTTCTAAATCCTTGATGGGGTGACAGTTGTTTTACTGTCTAGATTTTGGTCGTTTTGTACCATGAATTTCAAAATAAGATAGTGGACCTGAATTCTTTTCATAATGCTACTTCTGCAACAATTTGTTGGTTATCGTACAAATTACCTTAATGGAGCAAGATGGTCTCGATCCGTTTGATTTTTTGGGGATTATGAAACATGAAACTAACTGATACCACCTACTTCTGTTTATGCAATTGTTTGTTGGGATTCTGTTGAATCCAACTCGACAAGTCTTTGTCCCAATTACTCAAGGTAGGCTACATGGTTACATTTAATTTCTTGGATTCATCTGTTGTGTGTTTTCTTTAGGCTACATGAGTATGATAAAGCAATGGCTATGCAGGAGTGGATTTCATACGGTTCAGGTGAGCAAACCTGGGCTTTTTCTTTAGTATTTATATTTCTATCTTTGGGTAATCTTTGGATAATCTTTACTCTAATCTTTAATTTTTGAATAATCTTTACTCTAATCTTTAGTCTTTACACTCTAATCTTTTGATTGAAACATTAATTAATCTTTAGTCTTTGGAAAACTCTAATCTAATTTTATAATCTCTAATCTCTAATCTTTAGTCTTTACTAAACTCTAATCTAATTTTATAATTAATTAATTAATTTCAACATTAATTTTTGTGATTGAAACATTTAAACATTGATTCGGACATTTTTTTTTGTGTGTCTTTATTTATAAATTAACTACATTGGTTATCATTTTTAAAAAGTTTAAATTCACAAAATATGTTTGAGACACCGATATAAGATAAAATATGAGCCTACATGCGTGAATTTCAAATTAAGAAAATGAAGAACTTCACTTCAAATCTAGAAAAAGAAAAAAGTTAGTAGCTTGCAAGAAAGTTAGTAGCTTGAAAAAAGTTAGTAGCTTGCAGAGATGATCAGTCCTGGGCTTAATCCATTTGGAAAGTACAAGAAACAATGCACAAGTGAGTATGATAAAGCAATGACTATGCAAGAGTGGATTTCATACGGTTCAGGTGAGCAAACCTGGGCTTTTTCTTTAGTATTTGGGTAATCTTTGGATAAACTTTACTCTAATCTTTAATTTTTGGATAATCTCTACTCTAATCTTTTGATTGAAACATTAATTAATCTTTAGTCTTTGGGTAATCTTTGGATAATCTTTACTCTAATCTTTTGATTGAAACATTAATTAATCTTTAGTCTTTACTAAACTCTAATCTAATTTTATAATCTGTAATCTCTAATCTTTAGTCTTTACTAAACTCTAATCTAATTTTATAATTAATTAATTAATTTCAACATTAATTTTTGTGATTTAAACATTTAAACATTGTTCGGACATTTTTTTTGTATGTCTTTATTTATAAATTAACTACATTGGTTATCATTTTTTTCCAAAATAAAAAGTTTAAATTCACAAAATATGTTTGAGACACCGATATAAGATAAAATATGAGCCTACATGCGTGAATTTCACATACGTATCGTATTTAGTGAATTTTTTCTGTATTCGTTTTTTTCAAAATTATGATGATAACATACAATGTACCAAAAATTGATACTAAAGGCTATTTTAATTTCTCTTCTGAACTTGAAATAGATGATCCCAAATCCAAAAGAAGGAAACACTTCACATGTTCCAAAAACATGATAAGTCAAAAATGTCTGCCCAAAATATAAATAAAAAAATTAAAAAAGGTGTTTGAAATCCAAATGTATGATCTGTATTTTTTGGGAGATGATGAGCAGAAACCGGTTCAATGAGAGAAGAATAGTTTTGGCCTCGGAGAGTTTTTTTTCTTTTTCCTTTTTTAAATGTTGTGACTGAGGTCGACTGAACACACACACAGTTAATGAAATGTTTGATTCTTTAATGAGAAATGGGTGTTAATTTTTTTTATTTATAAAATGCGTTTTTTTATATTATGAGTTTTTCTATTGTTTGCTAAATACTTCTGAGTTTGCTAAATCTATATAATATAGGAGAAAGGTTTTTGAATATATCCAAAATGTATGAGAGATACATTTGATTTTAACGGTCCTAAGTCCATATACATTTAGATCAATGGTCTAGGTGCATTTAGTTCCCGCCCGTTTGAGCTCATCTCTCCCTCTCTCTTACGTCCCCAAACAACGCCTCTGCAACTCCCTCTCTCCCACGTTCTCACTGCTGCTCATCACCACAGCCATTGAACAACCAAATCTGTTCATGGTTATTTTAGGGTTTTGTTTACGGGTTATATATATTTGTAATTTCTACCAAATCTGTTCATGTTGTGGTTATCTTCCTCATAGAATGCTCTATTCCAAGCATAAATCGGGGTCTCTTGCTCCACTGCAGCCAAGAATAAGAAATATATTTGATGTTTTTGATTTTGTTTTTGATAGATTGGGGTAAATAGTATAATGGTTTCTTAATGAGTGGGGGTGAGTTTGTGGTAGTGGTAGGCTGGTGGTGATGGCAGATGTGGGGGTGGAAGGTGATGGTTGTGATATGTGCGTTGGAAGTGGTGGTTGTGATGGTGGTCACCAAGTATTTGATAAAAGTCCTAGCCGGACAAAAAGTAGTTTGTGCGATGTCATGTGGTGTGGCTCCCAAGCTGCAACAGTAACTGTGGTCCATTGCATGTTAGTAACTGGGAATTCAATAGAAATTCAGGGTAATTATTTTACTTTTTTTTCTTCTCTCTTATTGATTTCTTTTTCTCATCTGCCTGATTCTTTTCCATGATAGATTGACCAAGTAGAAATGCAATAATAGGTTGCTAGCCGCATCATTAATAAGGCTGGGCCTTCTATTTTTCTATCATCTCTTTTTTCTTTATTATTATTATTATTATTTTTCTCTTTGGGCTTTTAATAATTAGTTTTTTGTAATACGGGAGAAACGTTTTTGAAAATGTCCAAAATATCTATATAATAGATTGAGGTAAATAGTATAATGGTTTCTTAATGTAATGTTTTTTTTTTTTTTTTTTTTTTTTTTTTTTTTTTTTTTCCAGTTAAATTCTCAATCTTAGAACTTTCTTTATTTTTTTAATTATGTTGTATGTGTATTTTTATTTTTATTTATTTATTTATTTTTGTTCTAATTCTCAACCATAGAACTTTCTTTTGTTTTAATTTATTTATTTAATTCCGATTGTACGAACTTTACTCTCTCGAATTGGATGTACTTACATTTGTTATATATTATTGCTACGTGGTTTACTTTATGGATTACCTACTGGATCTGTTTGAATGATTTTGATCAATTCTGGTGTTTAACTGACTATCTTTGATTGAGTCCTGTATGAATAGGATTGCTGTAACGGTGGTTTATGATAAAAAATTTAAAACAATTTTTTTTATTTTTTTTTATTGACTATTTTCCGTCTGTTGCAATTCGGGTTTGAACTATGTATAATATTTTGTTTTGCCTCTGATTTGGAGATATTATCTGCTTAATTTTATGGTTTCTTTGTGTATGTGGACTATGTATGTATGTATTTAGTTCATTTGTGAGGATGTAGGGGATTGCAAGGCAAAAACTTGGAGCTGGAGGATTTCCTGTTCCGGTAGGTCTTTCAATCGTATGTTTTGATTTTGAAAAAGGAAGATCTTTTTTGCATCTAATAGATAGTATTTAATTTCAGATTTTAGAACAATCCTTGCAGAGGATACATCAGCCTGCAGTATCCGTGTTGAGATGTTATTCATCTGCTACCAAAGAGGTAGTTGTGGATTATGTTCATCGTGTTGTTGTTCAATTTTTTCTTTTTTCTTTGATGCTTATTTGGTTGTTTAGATATGTTAGAATTAATTTTATTTCATGAGCTGATTTTTCCTATTTTGAAAATCATGAAAGCATCAATTATGCTTCGTCTTGTATTTATGAAAAATTCACCAGATCATTGCTCATGGAAATGACTAATTTCTATCAGGCCAGGGTCCTTCTGAACTGGACGTCTAGTCTGTTGCTCAGATGCTCGCCATGTCGGCATTTTTTAAAATTAATGGTTCAGATTTTATCCACCTGTTTAAAAACCCAATATTAGATCCAATTTAAAAACCTGACCCAATATTTAATGGGTCAATGGCTAGATAATTTATACTTTCAATTTACGAAAAATACTGACGTGGCACAATCTTGAAGCCCGGAAAGTAGCCATCCTCATTTCTTTTTATTCCTTTGGTTCTCTTGAATGTGTTAATTCATCATTCCTAGTCACTGATGTTTATTCATAATGCTGATGTGATAGGTGGTGGGAAAGATGGAGCAAGTAAATCCAGTGTAGCAGAGGCTGCTACATCAACCACCATGGCATCAGCTGCTGTGCCCAAAAATGACAGCTCCCAAAATACGACATCTGCTTCATTGCCTGAAAGTGAGAGTGCACAGAATGTGGCATCTGCTTTGCTGGAAGGCGAGACCACTCATGACCCAGTCATAAATCCAACTGGTGAGAACCATGCGATTTTTTCAGCTACTCCAAATCTTATTCGTTGTAACAAAAATGTTGAATCAAGAAGCAATCTGGATGTGCACGATGGAGCAGATCCTGGCAAAGGTTGACTTCAGTTTGGCCTGGCAACCGACAAACTTGTAAATGTGTAGTGATATACGGCATGTATGGGGGGGACTTTCTTTCTTTTCTTTTCTTCTTCTTAGAAAGTTGGAAATGTTGTTTGGAAGAGATGACAGGACAGGAGTGCTCATAAATGCAGTCTTTTCTATTTTACTTATTACCTGACGAGGTTTGTTTATGTCATGACAATCTCACATTTTGCGATTTTTTATGTACAAACCAATTTCCTAGTAGAAGAGAGAAATCGTAGGCAATTTGTTAGACATTTGAACAATAAAAATTTTCCGTTTCTTTTGTTCGTTTAGGGGCTGGATGTTGTGCTCGAAATGGACTAGTTTGAGAACTTCTTCTGTTGTTTATTATTTATTTTGTATTCTTTTATATTTTTTAGAGAACAAAAAAACTTTTTATGCACTTTTTGAAAAAGCAATTTTTTTTTCTTTAAAAAAAGTCTAAAAACAAATGAAAAATAATAAAACTATATTTTTGGAGACACCACAGCTGTCGTTAAAAGAAAATTTTGATAATATTTTTTGGTTACCTATTATGACGAATATTGCCGTGGCAAAAGCTCAAGTTATCTTTTTCATTTGTACTTTTAGTGACGAATAATAAACACTAGTAAAACTCTTATGGCATGTTTGATGGGAAGGATTAAAGTATAGGATTGGGATTATTAATCCGTGGGCCCAATCATCCTATGTTTGTTTTGACATTTTGGTTTAGGATTATTAATCCAATAGATAATTAATCCAACAAATTTGTAGGATTATTAGTAATGGGGTAGGGGTGGGATAACTAATACCACACTAATTTAATAGGATTATTAATACATCACTATTAGTGTTGTGAATCAAACATGGCCTTAGTCAGTTCTAATTTTAAATCCTTTTATTTTAAATTTTATCCCTCCAATTTATGAGAAAAAAAGAAAAAAGAGTATAATTTGATGTTAAAGTAGTCAGTTATTTTACTTTTACATAAAATTGGACAAAATTCTTTTATATGGGCAAGATTTATATTTTTAATAAATCACACTTCATATGAGGAAATTGTGTATGATTCTGTGACTGAATTATATCTGTTTAATTTTTTTTATTATAACTTTGTGGAAAAGTTTAGTTTGAATTGAAATGAGCGGGCAACAAAGTATAATTATTTACGGCTTGATTTGTGGAATAAAATGGTGGTGGGGTTCACACTTTTGATGTAATACTTTGCGTGGACCCACTTTTAATTGAATTCAAATCAAAATAAAGTAGGCATGTCACCGTCATCCTAATCATCAAACAAACAAATATTATTGTATTTTTTAATTATTATTATTTTTTATTTTTGTTATAGATAGTAATGAAAAAAATAATTTATATAGAATGTTTATCAAAAGAAAAATGTTTGGGTGCCCTAATTCTGTGGTTCAAATGTGGCTCAAATGGCCAAAACGACGTCGTTTTGGCCATTTTGATGTTGTTTTGTACTCAAAACGACGTCGTTTTGGCTATTTGAGCCACATTTGAGGCACAGAATTTGGGCCCTCTACCATTGCTCTTATCAAAATGATGTGTTAGTAATATTTCTATAATTAAATATTATTTAAATGAACATTGGATTCTATAATGATAAATTCTAGGATAAATTGCATTTACACCCTTGAGGTTTGGGGTTAACACATATTATTCCTTGACATTTGAGAAATTACACTAACTTTCCTATCATTGTAATTATTTAGACAGAATGAAAACATTGAACTT